TATATATATATATATATATATAAATCGCTCGATCACTTTAGGTCTTCTGTTGTATGACCCGACATCTACTCCGATCATCTTAATGGGTGATGAAATCAGAGATATCTCTATTGGGATATTTGGAGAAGAAGAAGAGAAACACAAGTGAGAACATAAGAGGGGGCGACGTGAATCTCACGTGTAGGGCGTGTTTCATGTTTTTTATCATCTATCTCTCTCTTAGTCTCCTAATCCCAAGAGATTTGATGTATTTATAGGCTACAACAGGACGATGTTAAATTGGACTTCTCCTATTTGGATTATACTATATGTCAAGCCTACCAAACTCAAATAGGAATAATATATACACTCCACTAAAGTAGTATCATTGAATAAACTCCCAATTTAATTCCCAAATTATATTCGAGACTCCACTAATAATTACTCAATTTATCTCCCCGTGTTTGAGATATAATATCCATCAAATAATTTAATTACTGAAAATTAAATTAATCGACATCTAAAACCTAGACTAGTACCCCTCATACCATTATTATTATTATGTCGGAATAAATTCCACTGACCAGATTTAACATAATAATACTTCATGAGCTCATTTCGGGTTCATCATCAAACTATCGCACACGGCGACCATAAATATTCTAACAACACATCGTACATACAATAATATTACCAAAAACTTTAAGTATATTGATCTAGTGAACTGAATTTCACCCAAGTGAATCAAAGTAATATTTACTGCATGCACATGTATGTTTATATCTTACGGGTTAAGAGTACGCAGTAATTAACCGAAGCCTAGTTCGTTAACGATGATTAGTATAAAACAAACTTCTCCTCTCTAGGATACGTTCAATATACAAAGTGTACTAGTGCATCTAATCAGTCAAGACCAACTGTACGGTTAACACTACAACCGTTCACGACGGGTTGTTCATTTTCATCTAGGTTGTGAACCACAATTCTTGTTTCGCAAGTAACTGATAGAATGATCTTCTGTTCTCCCGCTAACGACCCATTCTATCTAATTGCAAAGCAACAGTACATAGACTTGTTTAATTAAACATGACTCTCATTCAAATGGATTCAGTGTAAATACATTTAAATCCAAACTTTAAGTATATGCACCCGAGTGGACCACCCCGGACCAGCAATCGGAAGTCAGCTTCTCCTCTTCCCACACAACAACCAAATACTGCAAGTACCAAACACCCCCAGAACCCGTAGCTCGAACCCGATCCGACTTCCAAGCACCATGGAAGAACGAGAAAAGAGACACCGCGCTAGTC